AGCTTTTCGCAGATGTAACTGTATGGACTTTTGGATGAATCAACTTTTCTCACGAAATAGCTACGATAACTATAAATGAAAACGAAGTCGAAGGACTTCATAGCTTCATTGTCATGTACGCTTTCTGCTATCAGGGATAACAAGTAAATGCGTATTCATGTTATCAATACGTACAGAGACTTCTACGATTAGAAATTTCACAGTCGCTGATCTTAGTGTTTTGTACTTCTGTGTAGGAAAGCTTAGACGCGCATTTGCCTCGGGTTTGATTTGATATAGTTGACATGGCTAGACGTTCCCGATAGCACAATCGTCATTGATGTAAAATTGATGACTTCTTATGCGGTTCCAAAATGGATTTCCTCTATTTCTATGAAAAAAAAAAACCGTGTACTTGGATAGACAGCTGTCAATCGCTTCCTCATTATCTAATGAGATACACCGGATCGCTAGGAATTATAGTATGCATGAAGTCTAGTAATGGTAAGTGTCAGCAGCTGGCGTGTTACTGAGGATACACGATACAGTAATGCTTGAACAACGTCCGTAGATGAGCTAAAACAGGAGCGTCAATAAACTAGAAACAGTTCCGATGTTGTTTTTAGGTAGAAGTAAATAAAAATCTTTCCCAGTGGAACTCAACAGCGAACCAGTCCGTCTCTTCGCAGAACAGTCTGATAAACAATTTCTTTATTATCGCCCCCGTTTCCTGTTGGCACGAAGACTCAAATATTCACATATTTTATTCTAATAAGAAATTCTGAAAATTCTAATAATCGTGATTGAAAACAATCAACGAACAGAAAAGAAGCTATCCTAGTTTTCTTATATACTCTTGGCGTAGATTGTACGTCGCGACGTGCTCATATCTACCTGTATGCATTATATTCAAGTGATTGATTGCATTCTGAGCGTCCGTAACAAAGGCTCTCACTTTGAAAGGCTTGGGCCTAGTAACTCTGTGATGTTGGGCGTGGTGAGGTTTCCGTACTACATAGCCTTTCATCGGCGTAGACTCTACCGGTGAAAAATAGTCGTAGTTCGATTAAGCACAGATGCTACATCGTCTTGTGATTAGGGGCGGGGGGGAGGGGGTGGAGTGATATCATAATGCGGAACCTAAACGTGTTATGTACGTTTTTCAGTTTTAGAGGTCGTATTGTGTACGTATTAAAGATATTAACCGGTCACGTCAGCTTAACCGTGTCCGGGCAGTACACGTCCGTAGATCAGGCTTGATTTGCTTATATACTGTAAGAATCTTAATGTGATTGTCAGTTTTACACGACGACTACGAAAAAGATTAAATTTGAGAGACCAGGGTACGATGGTGGGGGGCATTTGTTTCGATGCTATTTGCCAGTGCAGAAGACTGTGCATTTATTATGTAGGAAGCTTTGAATTGTGGACAAATAAAGTTACTTCTTAATCTCATCCAACATTGATGACACCGTTCGTGGAATCTTTACCTAGGACACGATTCATCCCACTCCAGCCCATCCGTAAAACGTGTCGTACACGGTATAATATTTGTATATGAAATTTAGGCGACAGCTCAGGTTGTATGGTTCCCTCAGGCTACAACATACAATACAAACGCAAAAATCGAGCTGAATGGCAAAAAATGTAACTCACTGCTATTTCAATCCCTATCATTTTGCTTTTTTTTTTTTCTTAAACTAACGATGACTTCATCATTAACAGCGGGACATTTGTTATTGTGTCTATTTTATAATCTGCCCATCGAATAACAAGAAAGAAACACGCCAAATCACGATGATGCAAAACGTAATTCGGTGTTTTTAGCCCTATACACGTTTAAGAAGTCTGTCAGCGAATCTAATGGGTTGGCTACGGCGGTTAAGTTTCTTCCGCTAGGCGTGTGTGATACGACCACCCACTGTGGCAATCATAAAAGAAAATTATGCACCTACTTTAATAAAGTCGTATGGTTTTTACATGACATTATTTTTGTCTGTCGTTTCCTATACTCTCCATGACGTTGTAGTGTTTGGCGATTCGCGTTTCGATGTTTTTTGTAACAGGGGGAAACTTTACCCACACGGCGGAGGCGCTCCATGGTTTTTTTCTAAATTCGTTTAATTGGCCAGCTAACTGGTCCGGTGACCTATCAGATAGGACTATGTTGAGCACATCAGCGGCAATTGCTGACGACGGCTTCCAGGGTGGCCGACGTCACTGCGCGTTGCTAGTTCCTCAAGCTGATTAATTTATAATGCAACATTTACCCTTATGATTATTGTTAGCTATGGAGGTTGCCACCCACGGCTATCCAACTGTATAGTGTTTGGCGCTACCGTACGTGCTGCTATATAGTGATAAGGATCATGTTATGGATACTATAAGGCGAATCCTCTTCGACTGGATTGTGTCTGATTTGGAGTTACGAAATTGAATTGGAACTAGGGTAGGGAGCTGGAGTTTTTTTCGTATTTTAAAGATTTTAGCTTCAATGGCTCGCGTGCTTGTTGGGAAGTGCTCCAATATCGGTTATGCAAAACTCGGAGCATTTGGCTCTATACGGAGTAGACAGCGATCGTCGCTTGCAACGGATCATGTGTGAACAAAACTTTGTCCGTTTATTTCTTCTGCATTAATTATTATTAAACATTATTTTTGTAAAAATTAGATTTAATACTTTACAGCGAGTCCTGACTAATTAACGTGCGCTTTAACGTGTGAGATTCAACGTACAGCCAAATTACTACCCCCCCCCCCCCCCTGCTGCACATCGGTAGCACTAGTTATTTAGGACACCTCGCCCATACAATAACGTTGATGAGAGTATTAAACCCGAGACGTTGTTCTTCGCAGCCTGCTGGGGTCCAAAGAGAAGGCAACACCTTCATACCACTCAACGATACTCATAACATAAATGCAGAAGTTGTTTTTTGGTCTTCCTGAGTGATACTTTGCTTTCTGTACGTTTTAGTTGCGTCGTAGATAAGATTTCTATTGATAATCGAACGCATGGGAAGATTCAACAAGTGTTTATCTCATCATTATCATCATTCTTTCGTAGACATCACAAGTAAACGTATGATCCCACACGGGGTCAATATGTAGCAGGCTCGTTTTAGCTGATTATTTATATAGCTCAAGCTACGGATAATATTTTTACAGTATTAAGAAATGATTTTGGTTGGCTTTACATCCACCCTCTTTTTCTTTTGATTGGTTTAACTACTGATAGCCTGCGGCTAGCGCTAAACGTGTCACGTAGTAACTACTGCCGTATATATTGCCATCTCTGTCTCGTGCTCTCTGACGGCAAAAAATACGCTTTTTAAAAAGCCTCAAAGCAGGTGTAGTGTAGATCGGCATTAATAGTTCCTGCTAATTCTGTACAAATTAGGCACACTTAAACCGTCCAATAGAGTATTGTGTAAGCTATACTTAGGCAACGACGTGAGAGCCTTGACGGTTTTGACTTCTTTTTTCTTTTTTCTAATATTTTTCTATCGAAAAAAATGTTCCGCCCACTACTTTCACAACAACGTTTGTAGAATTAGGGAATAATGTCAAGTGGATTAGTATCCCTAGGAGTCTCTTGGTTAGCCAAGATGTTCTCAGCACTACATATAACTTTGTCATATAACTGATTGTTAAATTAAGCTTCGTATTATAGTGGACGGCGGAAAATGTTCAGTAGTAAACTTCTTCGAATCGTCTCATGCGTAAGAACCGTTTCAAGGCGAACTTTACGTCGCAAGTAGGAAATAATTCATAATAATTGTGCCTGATTTCAGGCTGTCCATCCGCTATGCTGTATCCACCATCAGATAGGCTGAACAAAGGCAATTGTTTGTGAAAATAAGATCATCTTCCGTAGACGTACAGTTGATCAATTATCTGTGACACTGACAGAGTCATTTCGGAAGCGTCAGCTAAACTGAGCCATGAACCGTAAGACCACGCTTAGACCGTTAGCTAAAGCCTCTAATCTAAACAGGAAGGGCATTTTCATGTGGATGATCCAGTACCTGTTAAGTTACGGGATACAAGCAGTACGTGAACACATGTTGAGTGTTCTCGGTAACGGGTGAGCTGGGATGTAGAAGTTAGCCTTGACTCGGAAGGCTTGCTGCTGTGCTAAGGGAGACCTATGTCGTTATGGGCCTATTTGAAATGATTTTTCTGGCCGAGTACATCTACTACAACTATTCTTACTTATAGCAATAATAATTCCACATATTTTTGGGGGACCGGTTAGCGCAGGATTGTTTCAATTTGGTTATAGTAAGGCACTAGTATGAAGCATTTTAGTGTACCGGCGAACTTAATTAAGAGCTTCTTATCTTTCCATATGTCGTTGCTTATATAGATGTAGCTTGTTTGCTGGAGAAACAATACCTGTATGCCGTCCATTTAAAGACAGCCGTGAATGTCAGAAGAATGCGCTGAAGTAAACTAGAGCGTTCCTATATCAGCCCCACAGCGTTCCGAATATAATCTGACATTAATAGCGTAATAGATCGTTCAGATTTGATCCGTAAAGCTAATGACTAGAATTTCTTTACTAGTACCTTATCAGTGGAGTAGCACTAAGAACTCTACCAGCTGAGCGTTAACTTCTAACGAAAGGTAGGTTTTAACGAGCATAGTCCAAGCTATGCTCTTCAAAATTCAAAATAACATAATGTTCCACTGTACTACCAGTTCGTTGTTTTTTTTTTACCAGACAGCATTGTACCTAAAAGCAAGCAACATTTTAAAAGCTAACCAAAGAAGTGGTTGTTAATGATTGCAGCCCTCGTATAAGATTACTAGAATCCTGTAGTTGACTGTCCATTGTCGGGATCCAATGAGCAAAGCTTTGCGACGGATGAAAGCTCCAGTTTCGCTCTTGAGACAAAAGTTATTAGGTTCGTTTTTAAACCCAACAAGCCGTATCACACTTAAGAGTTAAGTTATTTTACTAGAATCGATTTCAATTGAGAACTTTATCTATTGGTAACATTTTAAGTGATAAAACTTACGTTGGTTAGCGGCTTGTGTATAGTAGCTATTTTTGGCGTTCGTAGACCTCTGTTAGAAGTTTGGTTTAGCATGCATGGGAAATGTATCCTCTTGAAAGACACCAACTTCAGCAGTATCCACAGAAAAAAGTCAGTCCGTAAGATAATTCAAAACGAAGACCGTTTGAACAAAACTACAATAGAACAAATAGCGTTCGACAGCCGCACCTCGAGCGTTTTTGGGCAGTGCCAACTCTAGCGTGATAGGATGCTATTGCAGTAAATGACAGGACTCACCAATCAAAACAGGCAGGTATGTATGCGCTAATGTATAATAGCATACACGATAATAGAGCACAAATCAATAGAACACGAGAACACAATGGATAATGCTAAAACTCATAGACCATCACGACCAAACCGCTCAGGGGTGGTGCAAGGATGGAGCTGAAACGTTACGACGACGGAGACATGATGCCAAGTGCGCGAAATGACCGTTATCTGTGTAACACCTTAACGGATCCTCTCACTCTTAGAACGGCAGTTTGCTCTTTCTTTCGTTGGGCGAGAAGGGTGGTAAGTGAGGCTCGTTTTCGTGTGTCAATGATACGTTACACTGGGCGGGGGGGATGATACGCCACAAACAAAAGTGCGTTGCCGTGGTTCGCCGTTGGGAAGCTGTAACAACTATAGTGGGGTAGCTGTGCGTTCCGGAGACACTTGTCAGGGGGGAGTAGCAGTCTAACGGCGTCGGAACTGAGAAGGGGAAATGCTATTGTTGGTTGGAAGCTGATGGCTGCATCGCCCACAAAAGTTTTCGCACACTGGTTTGTCGTATCGCAGAGGATCATGACGACAATAAATGCCATTCACTGCAAACTTGGGACAGCGATGGCGGTAAAATTTGACTCATCGGGGCAAACAATTCCCAGTATAAGATCGAAGAGGCACGGCCATCTGGGGGAGAAAGTGTGTCGATATTATTAAACCCAGATAATGATGCTAGACAATTCACAATGGTTTACGCTACTCCGAAACGCGTTACGTTCGGTAACATCAGTCACATGCTACAAACGCAATCTCTAGGCACAAAGAGATTTCTATGCTAGATATGAGCATTGCTTGTGTACTTTACGGAGTCATTTGTTCTGCCGCGTTTGTGCCGACAAACAGATGATAGTTTCTTACTTTTTAAGTGACGTTCTTAGCGAATTACGCCTGTTGATGCAGCGACGTAAATACCATCTAGTTACACGATTAATCTTCTTGGTCATGGTACGTAAGGCTACGGTCAGTACTAGCTACAGTGATTAGTTGCTTTTCTATCCGTTGTAATGTACACCGAACCGGGTGTCCTTTCAGCTGTGAATAAAACCTCGTAGTAGCACTATGACTGGCATTGAAGTCCGTGCAAGCTACTTCAACACATGTTAACGCATCTACATACTGTAACTTGACATTTTTACTAGAACGTAAAAGTATTCGGTTAAGTGACCCGAACAATAACAGACCGGCCTACTAAATTCACAGACAATGCAATGTACTATCAAATACGCCAAATTAGCGGTTTGGTAGGCTTCTCTACGAAGCTCGAAACGGAAATTGTAACTGATTATCTTCACTGACCAGCCACGTAGCTCAGCTGCACGCGCTTTTTGTGGCTCTTCTCGCTGTGTACTAATAATAGACACAAAGGACAAATATTGTTGGAATTAAAAGAAAAAAAAATTACCACAAAATTGCCCTACGGAGTATGCTGATCGCCACATTATCGGTGGCTAAATTCTGTTCGACAATGTTAAAGAAAAATCTAGTCTACTAGTAGCTTTAGCCGTAAGTCACGTATTTGGTACACTGTATAGATGCAATACGATTTATCACTACGGGTTTCTGAGGTTGCTTACGGTTTAAGCTTTGGAAGCACGGAGTCTATTGTTTGGTATACCTATATGCCAGTGCAGGACGTTACCTTTACGTCTCGATTTAAGACAGTATCATAAAAACTCGTAACCAAACCCTTAGTTCGACATATCTGTCTTGTATGGCTTATCGGATATCAATCTTTTTGAAGATGCTCTTCATAGTATCGAAGCATGGTAAACATACGCATACCGCGTACGTAATGCTACCACTACGACAATTGAGATATTGGCTATTAGTTTGTTATCAATGAAGGTATGAAGATTACTATGATCCGAAAGGTGCCGTACAGCTTTCGACAGTTCTACATCTAGAAGTTTAATAGATGATAAAGCGTGCAAGCTAGCGCGAAGCTTTCTTTCGCATGTCGCTTACCGTTCTAAACGTTAGTGGCGTAATTTAAAAATCGACGTTACGTGATGATGTTCAATTTTTCGATAAATATAAAACGGTAAGGCATACACTATGCGTGTTTATTGCTACGGCCCTATTTATTGAAATGTTACAAGCAAAAGCTGACACGTCACATACTGCAATCAAAGATAGTTATTAAAAGAAATAGCATGCTTGTCCTAGTTTCATCAGCTCCCTTTAGTAACTGGAAATTGCAATAATTTTAAACTGGTATTTTCTAGTACAAAATGGCCTTATCGAAACTTTTTCGCTACGGCATTTAGCTCTGCGAGTGTAGAACTGGGGTGCTGATCTAAACGTCCAGTCGTGACTACTTTTGTTCATGCCATTGTTCTTTATACGTATGTAGCAGCTTTATTTTGAAGCGCCCGCCGAGCACGCACAATATATATTCATGTTTTAACATTTCCATCGTTGCCTTGCTTACACTACTACCATCTGTTCTTCTATCCATCCGGAAAAACTACCACCAATTGGTAAGGGACTACTCACCACGATTACCAAGAGTGTTTGTCAGCTTCCATTAGGACGACTATAATGCGACACTTTAGACGGCCTGTCATAGTTGGACACATACATAGGCAGGCACACGTAAACTCGTAAGCTATAGATCTAAAGCTCCGAAATTGTGAGACGTATTAACTGCTTAGTCAGTGTCCCATTATTCAAAAATGCGCAGACACTGGGGGCAGTATTATTCACTATAGGAACGGCTACTGTTTTTCACCACCCCACGGTCAATTTTGAGTGCCCCAAAAGATTCCTCTCTAGATCGTCCTGTTTACAAGCACCAAACAACACCGATAGCTTTAGTACCACATTAGTAGCAGCCCTGGACGTTTACTAGGTATTAACAGAACGTGCACTGTATGAAAATACGTAACGTACGTACACACATACATTTTCCAAGATTTGTTATATCAAGTTAGACAGCAATCTATCCGTTTGTAGCTTGCTAATAGGATTTTCTTCACAAAACAGCAGTTGCTAGAAATCCAAAGATCCAAAAATTCATAAGTGTATGTTTGAGGCAATGCCTGTCACAAACAATTCCGTATATTATAGACTGATTAGGGTACGTAATGCAGTATACGATAGTAAAGGTAGTATATGGCGTTTGGTTATCTTCCGCGTCATCGTTAGGCGTAATGCAGTGCTGAATACGTAAACATTTGTTAGCAGTACTTGAGTGTAATAGCAAAAGCGGGGCTCTCACACAAATTATACGATCACCATAATTCAGATCTAGTTTTTCAAACGTAGCTACTAGTGCTCTATGGGAAATAGAATATGTAAGACACAGTACACAAAGGCCTTCAAATAAAAGTTGAGTGAAAGTGTTGCTTAAGGTCCAGTGTACAGATAAAATCTTTACTTTATAGCATTGTAGTTATAAATTGGCCACATCACGTCATTCTTCCATATGAAAACAATGTTGACGATTCCTTAAGATGTGACTATATTGAAACAGAAGGCTCGTTGGAAGCATTAAGCGACACAGGCAGCTTAAATTCAATAAGCGTCTATATAGTTCTTTGCTATAATAATAATAATAAAATACAATCTCTGGACCCGAAGTTTCCTTGAACTCGGTGTTCACAAGATACAAGTAAACATTGGAGGTCACTCTTAATCCACGCTTAATTTTTTTGGAAAAACTGCAGTTTTTTTCCTAATCATAATACCGCCGTTATTGCCATTTCCCCACCTTCCAATTCGTCGCTGTTATAGTATGATACAACAAGGCCACGTATACGTGCATCCATGATGCATCGAGGCCCTACCGACTACTGACAGGCTGCAATAGACACAGTGATAAGTTTATTCGCAACTTATCACTTCAATGTGACGAGTTCTGCTATACCATAATGAAGCAGTAACACTGGCATCGTATGATCCGAAGCAGGTCGAGATGAATGAAATACCATAAGTCATAATGGTAGAGCTCTCAATTTCAATAACATGAGGGTACATGCTATGGTCAGTATAACGGCTACGAGGGCTCGTTTCTCGTCCGTAAGAGAAATGGATCTTGATTGTTGGTCGTCTACTAGCTAACCGTAATAACTTCTTGATTTGTTTCCCTTCTTCCGCGCACTGCGACAAAGCTGTAACCCATACTATCTATCGTTGTTGTCCTTTGTTCCGCATGTCCCTGTCTTCATCTGTACCGTTCGCCACAAACCAAAGTAAAATGGACCATTTTGACAAACTACATCTGATTCAAGCGACGACGGTCACCGCGATTCAACCGAAACGCGCGGAACACAATGACTGTTTCTGGGCCATTTTCTATTTACTTTCACTTGCCTCATAGCAAACAACGAGTCAACAGTGAAACGAAGATAGACCATTCCGGCGTACCAAAGCCTGGAGCGTATGTAAAAAAAATCGAATATTGTACTTTTTATATTGTTATATAATTTACGAAAAAAAGTTTATATTTTTTCTTACGTTTATTTATAGCGAAGTGGCGAATCTGATGTATCCTACTGGCGGCAGTATTTAGGTAAGATTCTTCTGACACAAACCTCGAGCCGTTAAACCTATCTAAGCAAAATAAACGTATAATAATAACAGTGAAATGCGGAAGGACGCATTTGGACCTATGTAGAGATAGAACACTGTGTATACTTAAATAACTGTATATTGCAACGGACTGATAGGCTGCTTAGCTGATTTGAAGTCTTGCAATGCGCTTGCGAAGTTCTCCTAGGAGCAGAGCGTACCCCGTTATAGTTTAGGGAGTCTTAACGAGCTTGCCTGCTGATTTTAGGGACACATGGTGGTCTGGATTCGAATACCGCCGTAGGCACACTTCGTTGCGTGCCGGTGACCAACCATCTGATTGAACGCCTAACGACTCTTCCAGACGTAAAACTCGAAACATTTAAGTTTAGCAGCAGACTGTCGAAGGGTTGTCCGACATTCTAACAAGCTCTTTGCCATTCACGCTAAGACATCGTTGTAAACGACTTTTCCAGGCACTACGATTTGTAGTACTTCCTTATTGATTCACTTCTGACAAATATGATAGACCTTTAAATCAAATATCATTCAACCAAACCCAGATAAAGAATTAAATAACCGGGCAACATGGACGTTCGTCGTTTCTTTTTTTTAAAGTACCGTACGCGATGCC